GCTTGAGCCACTACACCCTGCCTAATATGTGATATTAAAGTGTCAAGCGTCATTATATAGTCCAAAATAGTATAATGGGAAGCCAGAAGACAGTATCTGGTCCTGCAGTATCTGGTCCTGCAGTATCTGGTCCTGCAGTATCTGGTCCTGCAGTATCTGGTCTTGCTGTATTCATGACCATTTGTTTGTCTCTATCAGAGCCTCCGAAATCAAAATCAACCCCTTTGGTCCTTTTTTTTTTTTTTTTCATGGAATCAGCAGCCCCTTGCCAGGGTCCCAGACTGGAGTACAGTGATGCAATCAGGGGTCGCTGCATTCTTTACCTCCCAAGCTCAAGCAATCTTCCCACCTCAGTCACCTGAGTAGCTGGGACCACAGGCATGCGCCACCATGCCCAGTTAATTTTTGTATTTTTTTGTAGAGACAGGGTTTCACTATGCTGCTAAGGCTAGTCTCAAACTCCTGAGCTCAATCAACCTGCCTAGGCCTCCCAAAGCACTGGGATTACAGGCCCTACCTGGTTTGGTACCTAAACTTTATGTACTTTACCCCTTTAGAGAAGAGGCAAAACAAATTGACTGCAGAAAGGAAAAGCTGGCAATGCAGTTTTATTGAAATCAGCTTGACATAGTTGCTCTGGAGTTCAGACTTCTCTCTTCTTCCCCCTGAAGGTATCGAGAGGTTCAAAGGCCAATATTTCCATAGCCGCCAATACAAGCATCCAGATGGATTTGAGGGAAAACGCATCCTGGTGATCGGAATGGGAAACTCGGGCTCCGATATTGCTGTTGAGCTGAGTAAGAATGCTGCTCAGGTGCGATGCTCTCTGCTTACCATGTACCTGGAGGGGAGGAAGTGGGGATGCTATACTGGAGAACCCCAGCTATATAATCACGGCTCCAATCCTCGTTAACTGGTTGGTTGGTAGCCCATTGTGGCATCATAGAAAATCTGGAAGTCAAGAAACCAGTTTACCTCCTAGCTCTGTCACTAACAAGCCATGTATCCTAGAGTGATTCATTTCACTTCTCTGGGCGATGGCTCCCCCGTTTTTAAAACGTGAACTTTTGACCAGATGATTTTCCAGAAAGAGGCCTTTCATCAACATGGCTCACTGTAGCCTTGACCTCCTGGGCTCCAGCCTTCCTTTCATCTCAGCCTCCTGAGTAGCTGGGACTACAGGCACATGCCACACCATACCCAGCTAATTTTCATATATTTGTAGAGATGAGGGTCTCACCATGTTGCCCAGGCTGGACTCAAACTCCTGAACTCAAGCAATCTGCCCAACTCAGCCTCCCAAAGTGCTGGGATTATAGGCATGCACCACCATACCCAGCCAAGACACCTTGTTTCTACCTGGATGTTTAATGAGATGTTAATCTGTTCATATTCTAGAGAGTGGCTTTTAGAAATTTAGTGCATATTTGAATTATATTTGAAATATAATCTTCAGTTACCCAAATATTAAGAAAAGAAAAGATTAAATGGATAGTAGGTCTCTCAATTAAAATTATAGATATTTAGGTGCTTCCTGAGGCCTTCTAACCACTGTCCTCTTAGCACCTGCTCAGGAATGACACCAGCTGAGCTGCCAAAAAGTCAAACATTATACGATGCTGCTGCTGACAGTGGTGGTAAGGAATAGCAAAAAAATAAACTCCTTCTGCAAGGATAGACCTAGGCAAAGAAAGAAAAATCGCTAAAGGTCCTCTCCCAAAGCATCCCCTCTCAAGAAGGCCTGAACAAGATGCCCAATCACTCTTACACTAGCTCCCTCAGCCTGGTATCTCTGGCCACCCAAGGCTTACCATGGCCCTCTGCACAACCAACAAATCATTTTCATTCTGAGTCTTACACTTTCAGGACTCTAGATACCCAGTGGCAAAAGTTATAAGCAAACATGACACCTGCCCAGCAGGTTAATGAAGGGGTTACATTGGGCCCTGTCAGAGTCATCCATCAGTCAGTGTCAGTCAGTACCAGCCTGGGAACAGAGCAAGTCACTAACACCAGAAGGAGATTTACTAGACCCAGTAAGTCTTCACTTTGTGAGAACAAACCTCTTGTCACTTATCTCAGTGTGAAGAACAAGTGAGGGGGCAGGAACTGTGACAGCCTGGAGAGGAGCAGAGCTGGAAAGTGAGAGTACCAGCTCTAGGCTCTTTCATGCTGGGAACACCCACAAAGCCTAACAGTGTATAATGGGGCAGTATGTGAGGAGCTGATGTAGCAGTCAGCCAAGTGAAGATCCATCCTAGACGACTACATGTTGTCAGACCAGTGATTTGGACTTAGATCTGTTCATTCCAAAGATATCAAATCTTAGATGGCAAGAACCAGTTCCTTGTATGGGTCTTGCCCTACAGAAAGCCTTATGGTGCCAGTTTCAGTATTAAGAAACTACCTTGGCTCTATCTGCATGCCTCACAGCTCCTTAAATAATCTTTTGCACAGAGTGCAAAAGACTTTGTTGCCATCTTCCTCTATCAGTGTAAATGCCACTAGGTGCCCCCTTTTTAGGAGGTACTTCACTTTTGAGGTCAATCATCTTTAAAACAGAGACTCAATAAATTCTGGGGCTATGCATGTGATACATCACCTACATAGTAGATTCCTCCTAAATATGTTATAATCATACATTTCCAGGATTATAATCATTCATCTGCACTAATCTCTTCAATATTTATTAGAGTAACAACATAAATCTATAACTATCATAAAACCTTTTACACAGAGTAATATACTCTCAAGCCTTCTGTGAAAAGACTAACCAGAGACTTTATAGGAGCTATACATGCTAGGAACAGAACTAGATGCATCTGCGTAACTTGAAATTATCACCTGAACTCACCAAAATTCTGAGTGTGCACTGCTCTGTTAAAAGAAATTCACCTTTATAAGGACACAGCACTCTCTACCACAATCCAAAAGCACCACTCAAGATCATATGGGATGGTGCTGCATCATTGTATTAATTCATTCTCATGCTGCTATGAAGACATACCCAAGACTGGATAATTTATAAAGAAAAGAGACTTAATTGACTCACAGTTTGGCATGGCTGGGGAAGCCTCAGGAAATTAACAATCACAGTGGAATACACCTCTTTACGAAGGTGGCAGGAGCCAGAATGGGAGCGAAGGGGGAACCCCTTATAAAACCATCAGATCTCGTGAGAACTTACTCCCTATTAGGAGAACAGCATGGCGGAAACCTCTCCCATGATTGAATTATCTCCACTTGGTCCCGCCCTTTACACGTGGAGATTATTACAATTCAAGGTGAGATTTGGGTGGGGGCACACAGCCAAACCATATCAGTCATTTACATACTTCTGACCAAAAACCAAATCTCTGGCCTTTGACCTAAAGCATGCGTCTCAGATAAAGCAGACTGAGCCTAAATCCTCATGTTTCTCTCGCTGTTGCAGCTAGTGTCACTAAGGCAGGTTAGACTCCCCTACTGTAGGGAGGGTCACAACAGAAAAAGAGTGAATCAAACAGGCAGAGCATTCCATTTGAAACAGGGTTTGATCCTGAGGAAGAAGAGGGGACAGTAAATAACGGAAAGAGACACTAATGGAAATATTTTTGTATCTAATATCTAATCAAAGTATTGCCAAGTCAGCCTAAGGGCAACGGCAGGAGAAATTCAGAACATAGGTATATACCACACACAGACCAGCAATACAGGAATGCTTGGTGTAGGTGCTACTTCACAAGCTAAGAATTTAAGGCCCATCCCCACAAAATTTGTCTCCAAATTCTGGTTCACTCCAGACATAAGGCACTGTATGAAACTCCTCTCTTCCAGCCTAACTTTACAAAATAACAGCTAGCAGTACTTATCACTTGCCAGGCAATATTTCAAGTACTTTATATATACCACCTCATTTAATCTACACAAGAATGCCATGAGGTAGGTACTGTTAATACCCCCATTTTACAGAGAGAGAAACTGAGGCACAGATTGAAATCATTCACCTATGGCAACACAGATTGAAATAGTTCACCCACAGTAGTGTTATTTGGATTCAAACCCAAGCAGCCTGTATCCGATCCTCTTAAGTAAATTGGTTACCTTGCAAGTGAATCTTATGTGTTTATCAAGTATAGCCTTAAACAAAACTCATTGGATGGTATGTGAAAATTTAAGAAGCGGTTCAAATATGCATTTGGACAATGAGGGAGTAACAGTAAACACAGCAAAATATACATTTGAAAAGAGAGTAAATGTACATTTTGGAAACGAGAAATCTTAGTAAACACGGTAAAGAATATATCTGAAAGAGGATTCAGTTGTGCACTTTAAGAGACAGAGAATCACAGTATAAGTTCACAGTTTTTAACTTTTAAAATACATATCAGGCACTATGGCTCATGCCTGTAATCCCAGCACTTTGGGAGGCTGAGGCAGGAGGATTGCTTAAGCCCAGAAATTTGAGACTGACCTGGGCAACATAGTGAGACCGTCTCTACAAAAATATTTTTTGAATTAGCTTGATGTGGCGGTCACGTCTGATGGTGAGGTGGGAGGATCACTTGAGCCTAGGAGGTCAAGACTGCAATGAGCCATGACTTCACAACTGCAGTCTAGCCTGAGTGACAGAGCAAGACCCTGTCACACACATACACAATAATAAAGTCTTTTAAGTATGGAAGGAAGATTATTGCCCTTGTTATTCTCCATCCAGAGATATGCAGATGCATATACTTATACTTATGTAGTCACTAGGCTATAATCACATGTTTCGAAGGATTATAATCTTTCTACCTGCACTATAGAAGAAACTTAGGTGGGTGGAAAACATGAGAGGAGGGAGGAACTTTCTCTTAAGGAGCAGCAAACCACAACTGTAAACATGGGAAAGACTTGTGGATTTCATCATCAGAATTAGCCCCAAGACTTTCTCATGTCTGCATGAAGTTCTCAAGACTTTGTTGCAGTCTTCCTATATCAGTGTAAATGCCATGGGGTACCCCTGTTTAGGAGATACTTTACATTGAGGTCAATCATCTTTAAAACGGAATCTCTGTAAATTCTGGGGCTACACATGTGATACATTACCTTCGTAGTAGATTCCTCCTAAATGGGACAATGCCCTAATTTAAACTGCATTTCTTTTTGCTTGCCAGGTTTTTATCAGCACCAGGCATGGCACCTGGGTCATGAGTCGTGTCTCTGAAGATGGTTATCCTTGGGACTCGGTGTTCCACACCCGGTTTCGTTCTATGCTCCGCAATGTACTGCCACGAACAGTTGTAAAATGGATGATAGAACAACAGATGAATCGGTGGTTCAACCATGAAAATTATGGCCTTGAGCCTCAAAACAAGTAGAGTAATTCTGTTTTAATGGTATACTCGTTGGTGAGCAAAGTTGTCTGAAGGTGTCTCCCTTAACAAAGATTCAAATTGCTAACGCAGTATTTCAAACTACAATCTAACAATATGAGTACCTTATAGGTCCTGGAGTTTGGATTCTAAATTTGTTCTGTATACCTTTAAAAAACACTTAAGAAGATGAAGCAAAAGTGTCACAAGCTGCTCCAGAAAGCAAAACTAGGGGAGAACTTTCTAATGCCCAGAGTTATCTAACATTGGAGAAAACCGTTTCAAGAGACTATGACCTGCCTTTCAGGGGGGTGTGGTGGAAAACATGTAACTCTCCATCTAATAATTTATGCTTTGCTAACTCTATACCATGAAGGTTGGGCAACCTTGGAAACACATTCCTTTTTCTTTGCTAAAAGACACATCTCTGTTGATGTCAGTTATATGTCAGTGATTTAAGCACAAGCAAATGTTATGAATGGTTCTTTTGTTTTAGTTGTTACAGGTTTCTTCCCTTAAAAAACAGAAGAGCTTTAGAATCTTTTAACAAATGCCTGCCATGTAACTACCGTATTCTAAGATCTGACGTAAGTGTCATGTATTGTCTATTAAAAAAAGAAAAAGAAAATGTTCTCAAATCTACAAAGAATATAAGCAGACTTTGCATCAACATCCATGTTATTACTAACAGAGACTCCATGGATATTTGGGATTAACAAATATCACCAAACCTAATTTTATACATTAATTTTCAAATTGATCCCTTCATAGGTTTCAAAACTAGTGGAAATTTAGCAAATTTTTTCTTTCTTACTTATGATCAAATAGGAGTTAAATAAAACAGCAAAATAATAAAATCTAGATAGCATGACAAAGATTAAAAACAGAAATGGTATAATAACCACCATAATACTCAGGCATTTTGTCTAAGCCCTAGGGGATGCTTCCTTCTTTAAAATCTCTTTCACTCACATTGCCTACATGTTTTCCCTTATTTATTGATGGGAGGTATTTGTGACATGAGAATTAAGTCAGAAAATAAGGACTGGCACAGACAATCAGTTAAGTTAGAGTTTTACAGATATTTGAAAAGTCGTTTTATTTTCAGAGCCATACCCCAAAAATGTCAAGAGGGTTCAATATTCCTCAGGAAATGATCCTTCAGAATGTTTTTCTTCTGTATGTCTCAGATACATTATGAAGGAACCTGTACTAAATGATGATGTCCCAAGTCGTCTACTCTGTGGAGCCATCAAGGTGAAATCTACAGTGAAAGAGCTCACAGAAACTTCTGCCATTTTTGAGGATGGAACAGTGGAGGAGAACATTGATGTCATCATTTTTGCAACAGGATATAGTTTCTCTTTTCCCTTCCTTGAAGATTCACTTGTTAAAGTAGAGAATAATATGGTCTCACTGTATAAGTACATATTCCCTGCTCACCTGGAGAAGTCAACCTTCGCATGCATTGGTCTCATCCAGCCCCTAGGTTCCATTTTCCCAACTGCTGAACTTCAAGCTCGTTGGGTGACAAGAGTTTTCAAAGGTAAGTGTGTGGGCAGGGGAGTGGCTAAGTGTTTCAGATCTGGTGAAGTTTATCAATAATGATAAGAATGTTGCCTGAGATAAAAAGGTTGCCAAGAAAAAGTTTGACAACCTTGGCTGCTCTCACAAGACTAGCTTTCTAAAAAGTTACTGGAGAATTCAAAGAATAACAAATACAGGAATCTGGTAATAATAAATACCTTCAATCATCCCTTTAAACTATTAGACTGTCAAGAGAATTTCAACTGGCATAAAGCTAAGTGCATGTTAACTTTTCTTTGAATCGTGAGAGAATAAGTTTAAGAAAAACTTCTGTGTCTCCTGGTGTTACCTATGTGGTGTTTAAAACGTCCTCAGCATATGTGCAAATCAATTTAACTCTTAACACCTGAGTAGCTCAACTTCACAAATCCCTACAAGTTATAAAATTATTAAAAGGTTTATTTCTGAGTGCCTGTGTAGCACTTCATACTCCTCAGAACAGTGTTATCTCCCTGCCTCCAGCGTTCAATTCTGTTCAGCTAGGTATTACTGAATACCTAGCCCTGCGCTGTGAACTGGTGGGACTGAGAGAAATTTAAACAGACCACTTCAACATAATATGACAAATGCTTTGATTGAGTAATATATGGAGTGCTCAGGGAAGGAGAGAAAGGGCACTTATCACGGTAGAAAAAGGAGAGGGCACATGATAAAGGAAAACGTCCTGGATAACTGCATTTTTTCAGGGGCAGAAAAGGGGATTGCCTGAACAAAGCATAGAGGCAATGATACATATGGAAAGGCACATTATATTTGACATTCCTAGAGCATGACATATGAGGCAGAGAGAGAAAAGAGATTACTCTTGGAGAAGGAGACAGGACACAGGAATTTTGTAAGACATGCTATGGCGCTTAGATTATAAATTATAGATCAGTTCTTCCCAAATATGGCTACACATGAAAATCATCTGATGGATCCTTAGGGACCCTGATTAAGTAAGACTGGCCAAGGGACCTGGAATATGCATTTTAGAAAGCTCTTCAGCCCGGGGCACCAATGGAGAGTTATAAGCAAGGAACAGGTATTAGCAGATTTACACTTTGGATAGATTGTTTCAGCAGTAGTGTGGAATATAGATTGGAAAGTGGGGAAAGACTATAGCCTCACAGATGAAAGAGAAAGTTACTGAAGTAACTTATGCTAAAATATGATGCATCCTGGGCCAGGGCAGAGATACAAAGTGGAAAGGAAGCCATAAGTGTGAGAAAGCATTAAGGGAAAAATCAGCAGGACATTATGATTGGTTCAGTGTGGGAAAGTCAGAGAAATAGAGAGGAATCAAGGAGGACTTACAAATCTCCAGCATTGGAAACCAGGTAGACAGTAGTGCTGTAAATAAAAGGGGATGTGCAGAAAATGATGCAAGTCTGGACAGGAGGGCTTCAGTGAGGAACTTAGGCCTGGACTGCTTGAGTATGAGATGTCTGATGACTCTAGGCAAGGGGACTTGACCATATTTCAACATATTCAAAGCTCAGGGGACATTTGTGGGCAGGAATGTAATCATGAACACACAATAATAACTCCTGCATCAATCTTTCACTATCTCTACTGCCCGACTCTCATCTCTCACCAGGTTTATTTCAACAGCCTCTTTACCGGTCTCCCCAACTTTGGGCTTGCGTCCCTGGAGTCCATTTTCCTAAATTCAGCAGCCAGACAGATCTTTCCAAAAAATAAATCTGATCTTCTCACTTCATGCAGAAAACTTCCACAGCCTCCTATCACCTTTAGGATAGAGGCCAAACTGCTAGTCATGGCTGCCAGGCTCCCAGACATGCTTCCCTTTTCCAGCCTCTTCTCTTGGCCCTCTCCATCTTGTAGTCCATGCCGTAGACTGTGCTCCCTGGACAGCGTCACATGGAGTGCTATGGGAGTGGCACCCCATGAAGTTCAACAGCACAGAAGCCCTGACTGGTATGACATGGTTCAATGGCCAGAGTTTAATTTTAAGAATCAATAACTAGATAAAGTAATGATATTGACTCAAACTTACTATTCAAACCAACCTTTTATTCCTTAGGCTTGTGTCACCTGCCCTCAGAGAGAACTATGATGATGGACATTATCAAAAGGAATGAAAAAAGAATTGACCTGTAAGAATATTTTTTAATTCTTTAAATGAAGCAGTGTTTCTTAAAGTACAGTGATCTAGCTACTTACAAGAACCACCTAGATGCCTGATAAAATGCAAATTTCTGGGCTAGAGCCCAGATGATTGAATCAGAAACTCTGTGTGTGAGGCTAAAAATTGCATTTTTATCTTTTCCCTAAGCGATTCTTATACATACTAGGTTAAGAACCAAATACTTAAAGATAAGAATTGTACCAAATCAGAGCACTTCTCCTTGGCTTAATTTCATCTCAGTTCTATATGATGCCCATGTCAGATTCCGTAACTTCTCAAGCCACCTACACTCCGTGGTTAGAGAGGGAATGGGATGAGACGGTGGTGATAGTAGCTTGACTAGCTGTGAAAAGTTAGCTGGAGAATCCCCATCAAAATAAATTAGTAAGGGGTTGGTGTGAAGGTTCAAGGATTTGTACTTTATGATGAGGTAAAATGAGGTTCAACAGTGATCAAGTACCCTTGGAAAGTTGATTTGGGGTTCACATCAGGTGTAGGGAGTTTTCTCTTGTTCACACCCAATTTTACCTAACATTGATTATCTACTATATGTCATCCAGACTGCCAGGTACTTTAGTAATTTAACAAGCAAATATTAAGCATCTCCTGTGAGCAAGACACCAAGCTATGCTTTCATACGCATTATCTCATGAATCCCTGCCGCCATCCTGACTAGTACGTACTCTCCTGGAGATTTGCCACTGCTTAAAAAATGCCAAACAATGGTGATCATCTTGTCACATTTCTAGAGCATCCATGAATTCATGGCTCTTTGAGGGCCTATTCTCAATCTGAGATATGAGCCTCCTGGAACAATAAACTCATACTTTCCACCAGAGATTCATTCAAAACTCATTCATGTATTCACTCATTCCTTCATTCCTTTAGCAGTTTTGAATGCCTAATATTCTAGAAAACTGAGAACATTTTGTGAATATTCCCTTTTTACTTTCTTCACCAAGGTTTGGAGAAAGCCAGAGCCAGACGTTGCAGACCAATTATGTTGACTACTTGGATGAGCTCGCCTTAGAGATAGGTGCGAAGCCAGATTTCTGCTCTCTCTTGTTCAAAGATCCTAAACTGGCTGTGAGACTGTTTTTCGGACCCTGCAACTCCTATCAGTATCGCCTAGCTGGGCCTGGGCAATGGGACGGAGCCAGAAGTGCCATCTTCACCCAGAAACAAAGGATACTGAAGCCACTAAAGACTCGGGTCCTGAAGGATTCATCTAATTTCCCAGTTTCCTTTCTGTTGAAAATCCTGGGCCTTGTTGCTGTTGTTGTAGCCTTTTTCTGCCAACTTCAATGGTCCTAGTCAGCATAACACTTTGGGCTTTATTATCTTGTCAGTCACTACCTCCTAAAGAAAAAAAAAAAAAAAAACTAGAAGAAAAAATATTAAATTCATGTTTTAATAATATATTTTAGAGTTAGGTAGTACAGGTGAGGGGGAAATTGTAGAGAATTAGCAGAACTGGGTCTATGTACAAAACCAAATTGTGTCATGCAATTTTGCCATTCCACGCTTCCCTCAGTTCACGCAAGTTACCAAAAAGTAAAATAAAATAAGACTGGTGACCGGGCGCGGTGGCTCACGCCTGTAATCCCAGCACTTTGGGAGGCCGAGGCGGGCGGATCACAAGGTCAGGAGATCGAGACCACGGTGAAACCCCGTCTCTACTAAAAACACAAAAAATTAGCCGGGCGCGGTGGCAGGCGCCTGTAGTCCCAGCTACTCAGGAGGCTGAGGCAGGAGAACGACGTAAACCCCGGGAGGCGGAGCTTGCGCTGAGCCGAGATCGCGCCACTGCACTCCAGCCCGGGCGACAGAGCGAGACTCCGCCTCAAAAAAAAAAAAAAAAAAAAAAAAGACCGGCTCAGGTAAATAGTGCTGCCAGCCTTGATATACGGGAGTTGTATGGAAAAATAATAGAATTACACAGCATGAAAAGCAGCCCATGGTTTAAATTATTAGACAATTTAAATTGTGGGTAAATATTTAAGACTCCCAAACAATGTTTTTGATGGTCTTCTATCCACCCTACTTGGTAACAGAGTTCTCAGATGTTAGGTCATGTTTCATCTGCTCAGTCGGGGATCACTCAAACTACTAGAGAAAAAAGTGAGAGGATAGATTTAGAAAACATCAGTAATTGCTCAGATGAACTTTTAGGACCTCATATTTAGAGCTAAGCAAATAGCCACATTTCCTATATTTTGACAGAAATACTGCTGGAAAAATAAAAATGTCATGATAGCTACCTAACAAATATAAATGTTTAATGCTTATCGTAGGCCAGACATTATGCTATGTGCACATTATATGTATTATTTCATTTAATTCTCACAACAATTCTGTGAGATGGTTACAGCTATTATAGTCATTTCACAGATGATGAAACTAAGATTCAGAGCAGCTGATATTGTGAGGCAGCTGGAATTGGAACCCAGGTTTGTTGAACTCTAGAACTAAAGATCATAATGTTGTCTTGTAATACATTTATTTACAAAACACTTCATTATTTATAAAGAATTTATTAACAGTGTATCTTATTTATACTCATATATCTGTTACTTTGGGAGGCCCTTTACATAGAAAACAGCATTCTTTTTGCCAAATATGACCAAATTACTTTTATTTATAATTTTTGATTGATATTTCAGCTAGATCTAAAAAGCATCTGAAGGAATTTACAATGAAAGATACCTATGCAATAACATTTAGGATAATCTTTGACATTTTGGAAAAATAAGAATTGAGGGGAAAAAAGTGTATCTCCCAAGTAGATGCAAAGCATTATATTGATTGACACTTGTATCTAACTCCAGCCTTACAGATAACCAAGGCAAAAAGCTAAATAAACAATATGTAACCTCTAACATTTGGTAAAAGGAAGTATACTGGTCTGTTAGGAGAGACAAACTTTTTTTTAGAATTGAAGTCTAAAACAAACAAAAGCAATTCAATGTCAATAGACATTGAGCAACGTAATAGACAAATATCTCCTAATGGAACATTTGTTACAGCTGCTCCTTCCATGAACTGTGCTTTGTAAAATGAGCTCTGTCCTGAGTCCAAACCAAACCCTTCCAAGAGAGAACAAAGGTCAGAGATGTTGAAGATTTCAACAAATTTCTCCTCTTATTTCTACCAAGCCTTTGTGAACATTGTTCTTCATTTTGGCCTGGATTTCTCCCTCAGGGACCTAGAACAATGGAATGTCAGTCTCTGTAGTTAAAACTTTTTCTTTAAAATTCAGTTAAGTTATACCAGGATTTACAGGCAAGATTTGTTTTCTTCATTGCTCCCATAAGCAAATTTGTTTTAAAATAATTGTAAATGAGCTATATACTTAGTTCTTGGTTAAAAAATATATTGCTTTGTTAAGTATTAAAAATTTTTTGTAAGCCATTGTATTAATAATACTAATAAAATTTATCAAGCCGTTATAGCAAGGGTCAGTGAATTACTACTGCCTGTGGGCCAAATCTAGCTCACTATCTGTTTTTGTAAATAAATTTTTATAATAGTACACAGCCACACTCATTCATTTATTTTATGGGGTTGCTTTCAAGCAACACTTGTAGAGTTGAGTAGTCGCAACAGAACCTATGTGAACCACAAAGCTAAAATACTTACGTTCTCACCATTACAGGAAAACTTTGGCAATTCCTGCTTTATAATATGTAAGGCATTGTCCTGTTTTGCATAACTTGCCTTATTTCGTCATTATCACTACCCATTTAATAGCTATGGTTGTTTTCCTACTTCTACAGTGGAAGAGATTGAAAAGCATTTGTCAGGTTAATGCTAAATCAGTGAGTAAATATAGCTCCATGAGGAAAATATTATTAAATTTATATCCCTAAAATTTTTAGAAATCTCTTGAAATCTTTCCAAATGTTCTGGTATCTTTGAAAAATGTAAATAGTTTATTTATAGAGAACCCTGCCTCTGAGGTTGACTCAAAGGTTAAAGAAGACTCATCCGTCTATCCTTCTGCCTGCATATATCCTGAACATCCAACTATCCCAGGAAAACCATCTAGAGTAGTTTGTTTCAAATTATTAGCCACAGACCACCTACATCACAATAACTCAGGGAGCTTATAGAAGTGAAGATTCCTGAATATAAATATAGTAATAATTCAGATCTGCTGAATAGACATCTCTGCTGAAATCCACAGTTTTCATAAGCTCCCCCAGAAGATTCCTGTGTATATTAAATCTAGAAACCATTAGTCTGAAATCTCTCAAAAAATAAAAATAAAAACTGCTTTCAGAGAGTAGCCCACAAAGTTTCCCATTCTTCAAGGACAAATTCCTCCTTCTGTTCACTCTTAATGCTCTAGTTGCAGTTTACAATTTTTGTTCTCCTGTAAAGAATGTTAACTGGTTATCACCTTCAATAGTTTCAATATGTCCCCCAAAGTTACGTGTTTGAAACTGGCAATAGTATTGGGAGGTAGGGCCTAATGAGGTGATTAGGTGAAGTCTCTGTCTTCATGAAAAGATTAATCCCATTATCTCATTAGGTGAAGTCTCTGTCTTCATGAAAAGATTAATCCCATTATCTCAGGAGTGTGTTGGTTATAAAAGCAAGTTTGGCTCCCTCTTTTCCCCATACACTCTTTTTCCCTTCTGCCTTCTCCTTTGCCATGGGTGGACACAGCAAGAAGCCCCTCATCAGATGCTGGCCCCTTGGTCTTGAATTTCCTAGCCTCTACAACTAAGCCAAATAAATTTGTTTATTTTAAATAACCCAGTCTCAGATATTCTGTTATAGAAGCACAAAATGGACTAAGACACCACCCTTTTCCAAAATCTCTCCTTGTGTTGGCTCCCTTTACTAGCGTTTCTTTTAACTATTCTCTTTATGATAGTTTCTTAATTTTTTCTATCAATAGCTAAATACGGCACACTTGTTCTTTACAGAAAAATAAAGATATTTTAAATAAAATACTAGGGACATGGTATGTAATACAATTTGAAACAATAACTTGAAATAATAAAGATTGAAGATGCTTAACCCAGAAAGAATCCAGCATCTACATTATAATGAGGATAAAAAGGGAAGCCTCTTTTGTATCATCAGTCTTTCATCCTGGAAGCTGCTGCCACTGACCTGCAACTTTGGCTGTTTCCAAGGGGGCAGAATGTGTTAACACTGAACAGGATTCACTTTCTTGTCCATTATGCCTGGTGACTAAATGGATTAATGAAGCTAAGTCAAAGGCTTCTAAGACTAGATTCTACTTAATCCAGGTCAGACATCAAAATAAGACTAAATATGCAAGGATTTTATTAAGCAAAATACCTGTATGAAGGAAAATAAGAGAGTATGCCAAGATTTGAGTGTGTCCCCCAAAAGTCCATGAGTTGGAACCTTAATTCCTCAATGCAGCAGTGTTGGGAGGTAGAGCCTAGTGAGAGGTGTTTGGGTCAGGGAGGTTCTAGCATCACGAAGGAATTCATGCAGCCACACCTTTCCTTTTCCACATGTCCACTTCCGCTTTCACTTCTCTGCCATGTTATACTGCAGATCAAGACATTCACCAGAGGCCAACTAAATGACAGCTTCTCAATCTTAAACTTCCCAGCCTTCAGCACTATAAGAAATAAATTTATTTTCTTTGTAAAAGAAATAAATTTCTTTTGCTTTATATATTCTGCTATAGTAACTGAAAGAAGACTAAAATAAAGGAGTGAAAAGCTGGAAGAGTCATCAGATTGCAATACAAGTCTGATACTGAGTGAAAAAGAGAGGGAGGAAATGTTGGGTAGAAACATCTTAGACTGTTGTGCAGGCTAAGGAAGATTCAGCAGGAAGATTCACCATTGAGAAGTCTTCAAGCCACCAAGCCACCAAGTCTCTCTAACATACTTAGCCACCAAGTCTCTCTAACATACTTAGCCACTGGCTGAAAACAGCTCATAGGAAAGCAAGACTTAGCACAAGTACAGAAGTGTATCTCAAGTACAGCAGTTGAAGAGCTTGGTCAATTATACTGCCTATACTAACTATATTAGAGATCCATGAGGCACATTCTCATGACTGCCACAGGTTTATCACCTCCTTTGTCAATCAAAACTCTCTAATTGATCGTAACCTATCTTCCCAGCCTTACCTCCCACTGCTATGCCAACCATGCTTGCTTTCCGGCCAAACCACATGACTCACTATTCTACAGAGATGGCTGCACTTGGTCTTGCTTTGTGTTGTTGCAGGACTTTTCCTTAGTTCAACTAAAGATGGGGTTCTTTGTCCCCCAGCCATGAAAGTTCAGGCTCATAGACAATTTGAATGGTGAGTAAGACAGGGCTTTATTGAGTAAAAAGGAAGGATTAAAAGGAAACAGGGACTCTCCACAAGGCCAGAGTCCCTTGCTAGGGTGCTTCCTGCCCTGGAGTTCAAACTCCAGGTTCCACACAGGAAGAGGAGGGGCCAGGCTCCTCCCCGCTACAAATGGTGCAAATTTTTGAGGCTCCACCCCAGTGAAGAGTCTGGTTGGAGTTTTTTCAGGGACCTTCTCACACTTGGCTGTCTCATTCCCGCTCTAAAGAAGTACATCTAACTGCGGTTAGAATAAGGATAAGGACAAAGACCAATCTTAACTGCTTCCTGCTGACAGGAGGCACTGTTTTGGGGAAACAGCAGACAGAGCTTCCTTAGAGGCCTTTTTAAGGGTTCCTGGCAAAAGGGGCCATTGTCAGATGCTCTGGGTGCATGACCATTTGGAGTTTGATGACCTGAAGGCAAGGACAGACAAACCAGGTTATTAGAAAACATATATCTAAGCAAAACAAAGGGAGAGGTAAAGACAGCTCAAAAATTCCAAGGCCTTTTACCAGTTTGCACAGGGAGACGGAGGCCAAAAGCCTGACTGCTTAAAAAAAAAAAAAAGGAGAAAAGTAAAAAACTTCACCTTTTTGCCGGAATGTTGGGCTTCTGGGTTTCCTTCCCCTGAGTCCAATCCTAAGCCAACAAGTTTAAGGTTTGGGAAATTAACTCTTTCCAGTTTGGAGGATGCATCTGATGTGAGTGTCTCACAGTATGTAGATGCAATTACCTATTTGTGAAGAGAAAACTGAGGAGGAAAAAGGAAAACTTAAGGCAATTTTTAAAGGCATCCCAGGGGTTCAGGATGCATTCGAAAGGGGTATAGACTGAAGATGAATCACTACCCATCTAGAAACAGAAGAGCAGGCCTCCCTGGTTCCCTTCTTTCCCTAGCAGATACATGGGATACAGGAGGGAGAGAGGGAAGAATGTCCTCTTTTCATCTTCCATCCTTGCATCGCCAAGTTCCAGTGACCTTGGCAGGTGTTGCATGGGTTTTAAAGTGGCTTGCACTCGTGAAGCAGGGGGGCTCGGCGGGGAAGTCATCCACTCTTAGCCATGTATGCCCTGTTTCCCCTGCTGTCAGTAGCCTTGGAGTTCCCTGGATCACATTTATGCTATGGATATTAATATAGCCTTTATCCATGAAACAGGAAGCTTGGGCTTGGCTTAATCAGCAGAAATGAGCCAGACTTACCTGTGCTCTGTGCCTTTTAACATCTGTTGCTCTCTGCCCCTGGATTCCCCAGATCCAGTTTTCTTCCTAGGGCTTTGATCCAACACTTGGAACTGAGTCTGGGACAAGAATGTATCTTGGGGGTTGCATGGACTCTTTATCATAAGCAAATGCTAAAGTGAGGCTGTGGAATTAGGTCCTCCTTGAACAAGGGAGAGGAAAGGACATCTTGTGACACATCCAGAAACTGGTAGCTGTAGTTATGCTTGCTGAGATTTGAGTTCATGGCGCTCTGCTTTGGTTAGCTCCCTTGGTCTTACTTTCCCAAAAAGAAAACCTCCAAGTCTGGGGCATGCTATTTATTCTCATCACCTGGCAGGATCTGCAGGATAATTGCTCAGAACTAAACTATTGATCCAGATTTCTATGTCACCTATCCCTTTTGTTCTTTCTGAGCTACAGCCAGGGATTGCTGGTTGGTTCACAGGAGCAAGCAGGGTTAGTCTAAAACATAGGCAAAAACTCAAAAACAACTAATGAGTTTAGAATTTAGTGACAAATGTATGATAAGTTTTAGAACATAATTTCTCTCTCTCCAGTCCTCATTTTTGTTAAGAAATCATAGGAATTAGTTGTTTAAATAGGCTTTAGTCTTATACTTGGCCTGATTATTTGCATAAAGTGCAGCAAGAATAATTCGTTTTACATGGGTCTTTTAGACTGGCTTTGATGGAAGTCTGTTCAATGAGGAGCCTCAGATAAGACCTTTTAAAGCTGAGCCCATCCATGGGTTTGTGTCCTTAAA